AATGCAAAAGAAATTTATGATTAAATGATTAATTAATTGTTGAAATAATTTAAAATTACTAAAAAATACTCAAATTCAAACGTAAATACTCCCTTATTTAAGTTCATTGAATACTTATGAGTTTGAGCATGATTTAAACTATTTTAAGTTTTGTTATATAACTATTTAAGTTTAATTTGAACTCGAATATTTATGGCTAGCTTGAGCACAAGTATCTAAGGATTCGATTCGATTAGGCTTGTTAGGAACCCTACTTCTACCCCGAACTGCAGAGTCTGCTATTTTTTGTTCAAAAAAAATTACTTAGTACAATTACATATATGGCATATATATTGTTGACTCTTGCCAAGTCAGTGCCACATGTCATTTATAAAAATAGAGCACAGAATCACTAGTAAATCGTCAAGGGTCTAACTAATTTTAGAGTTTTAAAGTTTTTATATATCCTGTCACTATACCATTGCACTATTATTTTAAAAAATCAAAGATCTAGAAAGACGTGCAAATGCCAGAGCCCAAGGTAGGCCTATTTTAAGTTTTTAACTAGAGTAATAATTAAGGGGACGAAATTGAGCAACAACAAATAAAGTAAAAGAATATAAAATTATCAATTTAACTTTATTTTACTTCTTGTCCTTCAATCCCATCCCCAATTTCGTCACTGATCATTACTCTTTTAATTAAGTTTTTTCTTTTACTTCACTTTTTTGTTTTTTTTTTAGACCCAAGGTAGGACCAGTGCCTAACCTTGGGCCTTTTTTATTCCACCGCTGATTTGCTCATTCGCTGAGCAAAACACATCCCTTGCCATATATATTTTCAAACAAAACTTTTTTAAAAAAATCACATAATTATTATTTTTATTTTATATATATTTTATATATTTAAATTAAAACTTTTTTATAAAAAAATCCAAGCCGTTGGATTCAGAAGCCAAGACTTTGTTGAGAAAATGACAAGCATGTTAGCACCTGCTTGTCACAGGCCTGCCCCACCGACACAGACATGTCATGTCGTTGTAAGAAAAGTATAGCGGTAGGTGCGTTTCTAGAATTTAGGTTAGATCTGTCCACATAGAAGTAAGAAAAGGTTATAATCATAATGAGAAGACTTTGGCTCAATTTGTATCATTAAGTTAAAATATCTTGATTTGGGCTTAATATCAAATATTTAAAATTTTGTAATATCAAGTAAAAATATCTTGATTTG